GCCGAGTACAGAGGCACGATGACTTCCCTACTCCTGCTGGCCACGCTATTCTTGATACGAGCCAGGATGCCATTGGCCTTCTTCGCCACCTGGCCACACTGCTGGCTCATGTTCAGCCAACAGTCGACCAACACCCCCAGGTCCTTTTCTGCCAGGCAGCTCCAGCCACTCTGCCCCCAGCCTGTAGCGCTGCAGGGGGTTGGTGTGACCGAAGTGCAAGACCCTGCACTTGGCCTTATTGAACCTCATATGCTTGAAGGTGCTTCTCATCATCAAGTTTTTCCTTTGCACCTTACTTTGCAGCTGCTGCTGAGGCCCAGGGCAAACACCAACCTCTGACTGCAGGGTTATAATTCCCCTCACTGTAACTACAGAGCCTAGGGAAGAAAATAATAAGGGAATGCCAATGCTTTAACACCAGCGTTGCTGTTTTAACACCAGTAACACAGTAAGCTAAATCAGTGCAACTGCAACAAAAGATTATGCAACACTAAGAGCTGGGACCTTGGCCACAGAACACGACACTGTGATTTGCAGTTTGGTAGATCCAAAAACAGATCAGAAGAACCACCGGGGAGAAGCTGCTCAGTCGGCTGCAGCTCACAGGCACAAGGCTGGCAAGCAGTTAAATTGCAAGTGGTTTGTCCCAGGGTGGTTGGCACAACAGGTTACCTCCCACCTCTGATCTTCCTTTTCCTACCTCTTCACTTTCCTAAAAGTGAAGTTTAGAGTTCGGTTCCTGTGACTTAAAACAGTTTAAAACCCCAACCTCTTCTGAACAGCAGTTATGACACACAGACCTGATCAGCATCTGTTAGCTAAATTAGGAAGAAGAAAAACAGGGACAGAGAAACCTTCCCTGTTCAGACATATCAAAAACTAATGTGCTGAGAAAGTGAGAAACTTTCTTAGGACAGCAAGGTTGCATAGTTGCTCACTGGCAGGTTTCATTGAGTCAATTTGTTTTGGCCTTGGTCAGAGCAAGGACATCGATCTACACAGATTATCTGCTCTGGCAGTTACTACACTAAAGCATTTTTCAGAAGCAGCGTAGTACCACAAGACCTCATCTTCGTGTATTTTCACCGACTTCCAAAGATTTTGATTAGTGAGGAACACAAGCAAGACCATGATTTTGGACTCACAGTGTTGTCTTGTGCCACATGCATTGGCATTCAGATAAATACATTAAGTGAGGGAACCTCTTTCGATAACTGTATCAAGGAACAGAGGAAGGGAAATCAGCCTCTTGTTCAAGCATCCCCCTTACGACCCACCTTGTCTGCTGCAAGACACAAAGATACTTTCAGCCAGCTTTTCTGCTGGTCTGTAACTACAAATAGATGGGAATTGCTGGTATGCACCAGAATCCCACTCACTCCCTTCCCTGGATCTGGTGACTTGCTGGAACACATCCTGCAGGCAGGTGCTTTCCTCCACAGCAAACTAGGACGTGAGCCGGGCTGATACGTGCCTACATACAGCCAGGACACAGCAGGTATGCACTGTGTGTATGTATGCATGTAACAAGTATGTTTGTGGGATCTGAAAAATGCCTATTTAAATAAAAGCAGCATTCACATCTCGCAGTTTAAACTGGATAATGCCATGGAAATTTTCAGCTGCTTCAGAATACAGAATCACAGAATTGTGGTGGTTGGAAGGGACCTCAGAGATCATCGAGTCCAACCACAAAAAAAAAAAAACAAAAACAAAAAAAAACACAAAAAAAAAACATACACAAACAAACCACCACACCACGTAAACACACAACAACAACCAAACCAAAAA